GTGAGCGAGCTGCCCCGGCAGGCAGCGACAGGGCTGTCACCTAAAGCAGCCCGGGAACGGGACGTGCACCCTTGCAGGGGTGGCTCTGGGGGACAAGGGGCAGACCCTGCTGCCACCTCTTGTTAGATCACCCAAGCAAGGCGTGGGGGGCAAGAGGGGGGTGACAACCAGAGCTGTGCCTCAGACAGGGCACTGAGGGTTCAACACTGGGGCAGGGGGGTGTCTTTGCGTTGCCCGTTGAGACGATCCCGGAGAGAGGTTTGGGCTGGTGCGTAGTGGGGAGGGGGCTGCTAACGGCCCCCATGAGCTGCAGCCCCTCACCCCCCACGTCCCCCCCTCTTCCAGGCTGCTGAACGAGAGCGAGAAGCGCCCGTTCGTGGAGGAGGCCGAGCGGCTGCGGGTGCAGCACAAGAAGGACCATCCTGACTACAAGTACCAGCCACGGCGGAGAAAGTCGGTGAAGAACGGGCAGTCGGAGCAGGAGGAGGGCTCGGAGCAGACCCACATCTCCCCCAACGCCATCTTCAAGGCGCTGCAGGCGGATTCCCCGCAGTCATCCTCCAGCATCAGCGAGGTGCACTCCCCTGGGGAGCACTCGGGTAGGTACTCACGAGGTGTTACGGGAGGGGTTTAAGTCATGGCTGCCTAAGAAAAGCTGTGTCCCAAACCAGGGTGAAATCGGGGTTGGGTAAGACGGGGAAGGGGAAAGGAGCGAGATCCAGAAACTCAACGAGAAGTGAAGGGCTGGATGGGGAGAGGGGCAGGGCTGCCCGCGAGCCTGGCCCGTAGCACAGGCACACAAACACTTGCCCTCGTGTGCCCCTGCAGCCCCTTCCAGCCCCCTCTCCCCATGAGAACCGCCAACCCACACTTTTTAAAGCAATAAACCACAAGACAGCCCTGCTCTCGCGGCGGAAGGCTCAGTAGTTTTACCCAGCGTGATAGATGGGTGCTGATAGGGCTCAGGTCAGTGTTCCTCACACCTGGAGATGTTTGTTTCCCCACACAACTGCTTTCAGACACAACGCGCTGTTACCGGGCCGCACGGTTAACAATTAACGGCGACTAACGACGCTATCACACCCAGCAGCACCTCCCGGCCCCGGGAGCCGCAGGGGCTGGCGCG